AGAATCCACGCGTATGGAGTCCTGGGTATTTAGTCGCTCACCTGTGCGCACAAAGTCACCGTACTGCTCGTGCATCTTCTCCAGCTCCTTGTAGTATTGTACATTCTTCGCCGAAAGTCTCGCTGCGTAGAATTTTGAGATTTTAGCAGCGGTCGGCCCTGGGAAGTTTCGACATCGGTGAAAAGCCAATCGGTACAAGGCAATGCTACCAAGCAATCCGATGCTGAAACTGCTTGCAAAGGCCAGGGCTTTCACGAAGCCAAACGTGTAAAACATCCCGAAGAAGGTCAGAGTAGAAGCCGCCATGAAATGGAACATGATCAGCTCAAATTCGAATGGCCGAATCAACAGATGGAAGACAATGCCGAACAGGGTTGCTGCAATGGCGCCTTGTGATACACTACGCTGCGCAGCATTGTGTACAGCATCTCGAATGACGTCCATGGTCATTGCGAAAGCTCTGAGGCTCAACACAAAGCTCCCTGATTGGATTCGCGAAGTAAGAAAAACGAAGGAGGCTTTGGATGACGACTTGAGACCCTGTCTCAGAGGGTGCAGTGCGTTGCAATATAGCTATCCGTAGCAATACGCTACTTGGCCACTTGCTCGTTTCCAGCACACCTCCGTATGTACGAAAAGCTAGCATCATGCTCCGCGGTTCGAGTGCCCCCACGATCAGGGTACAGCAGCAATGCGCATCCTTCTTGGAGGCCGTACGTTTTACCTAAATTCCTTGCAGTTCCCCGCCGTTAAGCGGCTACTGGATTGCTCTTGATAGGCGAGTGGGCACGTTAGCTGCATATAGCCCTGCAGCACCCATGCCTCGCCTCGCCTCTCATTACTGCATTTGCAGCGCGGAGAGGCTAGACTTAACTTGTACGAAAGCAGTTCTAACGAAGGCTGTGAGCCATTACATGATCCACGCAAAGATTCGCAAAAGATGACTACCAATGTGGGTAAGGTCATATATATCTATGGCACAATATGGGCGAGGTCTGGTCTGGCAGACCCCAACTTATCGCTCTCCTACGCGATATCAGCAGAGAAGGTTTGTGTCCTATGAGGCTGTTCGCCGGTATCGAGTTTAATTGAATTCGTCTCTATCCTGTTAACATTGTGGCTGTAATGTTACACAGTCCGGCCCAACAGTTGGACCTCAGAGCCTCAGATTTGGCTATGAAGGTGATCTCTCGAAGCAGAGGAGACATCTCCGTTGTCACTTTTGTTCAAGTAATCTTCATATTTTATCGCGAGCTTTGCAATACGCTGTCGCATCCATATTCTGGTCTGGAGGTCGCTCCCAGCACTGGAATAGAAGTCGCTCCTATTCGCGATCACGGCACTTTCAAAATCCCTACAAACTATGAGGTCACACCTACGTGCAGTCTGCGCAAGAGAAACTTTGAGATCATGACAATTGCCGCTATCGCAGTTGTCGCCAGCGCTATGATGGTGGAGTAGGCGGCACGCTCGCAAAACGCAAGTCCAACGAGCCCAGCGCCAACACTAGCAGCAGCAGTTCAAGAGTGCTTGCATCCAGCATTCAGTTCTGATCTGTAATACCATGATCCATGTTGTCGACGCAAGAGATTAGCACGAGCGCCATCGTTAGCCTCATCAACAGCTCTGAGTCCACGCTATCTCGCGACTGTCCTTTGCGTAACAACACTGTCTACCCTCACTACGACAACAGCAGGGCCTACTTGTTTCGCAAACTCTACAATGATGCCTACAACAACTCTAACGGCCGGTCAAGTCATGTTAAAGGCCAGGTGAATGGTCTCATTGGTTGCGTCCATATGGGTGCGAAGTATAACCACAACAACCACACAGAAGTAGAGTCAAATAGTAACAAAAGAAAATGCACCTCAGTGTGCTGGCGGAACACCTTTGGCCCTGAAAATGATTTTCCTCGGGAACTTCGTTTCGGGTGCACAACGATCGACATAATGGCGAATGGGCAGACGGCGTTCGATCTTGTAGAAGATAGGAGGAATATATGTGACAGTGCTGTTTGGGTCAACACTGACTTCTAATGACGCATGTTATGCTGAAGGGAAGAAACAGCGAATGCCTTGCATAAGCTAAGCCTGACGAGATATTGCTATACTCTGAAAGATGGAATTACACAGAGCGTTAGTGCTACCCTATTCTACTACCTTGTTCTCCGCTACTGCATTCTCGACCTGAAGAAGCTGAACCCAGGGTCAACCGTGTGCGGGCGCAAGCGGCCATGACACCCGCCCACCTATCACAATGCTCTTATGAAAAGGAACTGTCCCGAAGCGTTGGAATTTGCTAGTGAAGAAGGAGATTGCAAGTCAAGCTACTAGGGTTCTGGTGAACGTGCTGAGTGGCGAGATGGCCCTGGGTGTGGGGCGGGGAATCGGCTGGCAACCACGCGTCCCGGCCCTTGTCGACACGCACATGCGCCTCCACCACCAACAGGAAGTCACATCTTCTTCATGCACGCGAGCGATATGAGAGAATCCTTCGCTTCTCGCGGCCCATTCTAGGCCTCCCATCTCCGTACATCGTATTCGAAATCCTTCCCAGTACCCAAGTACGATTTTCGGGAGGACAGATCTGCCTAACGCCTGACTGTTGGTGCGTTATACAGTCGTATGTGCTAGAGGCTGCAGACACATGGTGAACACAACGCTTGAGTAGCAGTTTGAGTGTACTTATTCTAGACCAAACCAGTTCCTCGGCTTCAGCTTGATGGCTCGGGGAAGCGCGTGCGCCAGGTTAGTACATGGGTCGAGCCGTAGCCCACAAGGGAAGCCTCCCGCACCGCAGAACCGTCTCAACGGAGTAAAGCAAAAACCTAATCATGCGCGGCGGTTAGGCAGGCACCACTTATCCTGGGCGATGTGGAATATCTTGTCTTTGATACGTTACAACAAAGCTCAGATACGCACATCTTTCACCGATCTTAGCAACACATGCTCGCATGCGGCCTCATACACGGTGGCATTTTTCCTGCGTTCTATTTTGTGAGCCCGTGGGGGTGGTAGGAAAAAAAGCATGGGGTCGGTTAGGAAATGTTGAAACTGTTCCTCGACTGGCCATGACGAACGTGCCTGTTTGCAGTTTACTATGCGACTCCTGTCGAGTACTTCTTTTGAGACAGCGAGCATCCGCTCAAATCCGATGTTAATTCACTCGGAAGAAACGCTTTCGTTACTATGGGATTGACAACTCTACAGCCTTTGGCCTATGCTGTAGCGTATGTTACCTTCTTTCTTGGTACTACATCTGTATTCCTACGCTTCTACTCTCGGCATTTTGTCCTACGGACTCGTGGGTGGGATGACAATTTTGCCATTTTAATCCTGGTATGTGCCTAGGCCCTAGAGTATATCTATGTTATCAGTATTGACTGGAAGTGCAGTTGTTTAGCATTGGACAACAAGTTGTCCTGCACATGTTCGTGTATTGGGGATGTGGACTACACATGGAAACGTTGAGCGGTGTCCAACAGCTCGAAATTGTCAAGGTACGGTCTAATACGAGATTTTCATCTTGACTGAGCTGAACAGACAACAGTGGCTGTTCATAGAAGAAGTGGTTTACTACTCAGTTCACTGGGTAATCAAATCGGCTTTCCTTCTCTTTTACCTGCGCCTCTCCCCAAGCAAAACCTTTCGGATAGCCGTATACATTGGCGGAGTCCTGAACCTTGCAATCTTGATTATCAATATCATGCTCGCATGTTTCCAATGTATCCCATTCGATGAGATTCTTCATCCAGGTACGCATCCCGATGCTATCTGTATCAGCAAACTCGTCCTTCTCATAGGGCCATCTGTCCTCGTAAGTCTCGAATACACCTACATCACTATCTGGAAAAGCACTAACAGCTAGATAGAACATCCTGGAAGACTTCTACATCCTCATCCTACCCATACATACAGTCTTGAAACTCCAAATGTCAGTTCGGCGCAAAGCAGCAGTGCTGGGAGTCATGGCCTTTGGCAGCAGTTCCGTCATTATTGCGTGTTTCCGACTCATACCTCTCATGGAGCTAAACAACTCGCCGGATACGTCATGGGTGCTTGGAAAGATGGTAATTGTGGCTGCGCTCGAGATACAATTTGCTATCATTGCTGTCAACTTGCCAAGTCTCAAAGCACTTTGGACGCGAGTAGCGGGCGGACCTTCATACGGATCAGGAGGAGGAGAGCGAGGTAGTTCGAAGCAGAAGGGGTACAAACTATCTTCACTTGGCCAGATCATAACGATTGGTTCGGAAGGGAAGGGCCCGGGCGGATCGAAGTGGGGAAAGAGGGTCCATAGAGGAAGTATCACACGGTTGGAACAAGGGGTTACTGCGACAGAGTCAGAAGAGGAGTTGTGCCGACAAGGTAACATACCATTACGGACGCTGAACTCAGCTCAGGAGGGTGAACTTGGTACGATCAAGGTTACAAAAGACTACGATGTGAAGAGTACACGAATAGGTGGAGACGACAATAACTCGGGTTATCTCTTGAAAGGGGTATAAGTATAATATAGTTGCCAATGCTCATCTGAGACGGCTTTTGTTTTGCCGTGGCGTGGTTTGAGACTCGTAAGCGGCTTCGCTGCTCGATACTAAATTGCAGCTCTGTCCAGTATGCAAACCTTCTTGTGCGACGACTCCATAGCTGCTATATCTCTTTCGTAAATAAATCGCCATCCCTTCGATACGTAGCGTATTCTGCACGTCAATTCTATTTATTTTGCATCACACCATTTGACCCTTGCGTCTTCTCGAATCTCTCTCTTTGAAGCGATCAGCATGAAGCTCAAAGCAGCAATGCTCAGACTGGCCTTCACAGTATCCCGCTTCGAGACCGGAACTCTCCACGTTACACCCTCCTCCTATTTCTTCGACACAGACGCAAGATTTAATGAGTCATCATGTTCATCTTAAGTGCACTGTAGGATATCAGAGCATTCACAAAACTGAGTGAGCTGCAATGTTGTGTACGAGCATCTTATTGGTCACCACCAATCTAGACATCATTCACAGCATTGATGATATCCTGCGCTAACTTCTCCGCATGCGCATAAGTGACACCCTGTGTATGTCCAGGCGCAGTGAACGGCAAAGAACTTGCATCTACAACCCTGAGTCCACTCACACCAAAGACTCTTGCCTTAGAGTCAACGACCGCTCCATTCGACGCATTTCTTCCCATCGCGCACGTTGCTGCTCCGTGATGAATGGCGCCCATCCCTTTCGTTCTAATATAGTGCAAAATCTGCGCATCCGTTGTGACATTCGCTCCTGGCGCTATTTCATCACCAAATGCGGATATGCTGGCGGCGATGGTGCGTGCACGTCTGTATGCTGCAACAGCAAGTTCCTGGTCTTCAATGGAGTCGAGCCAGCCTATGTATACGACAGGTGCAACAGCGTTGTCAGCAGATTGGATGGTGACATTTCCCGCGCTCGTGGTGGATGTCAATATTGTGCCGATGACACCTGTATCGCTCGCAGTTTGCGCTGAAGACAAGATGCGCTCTGCAGCCTGCAATACGTGTTCTACATTCGGCCAGTCGCTGGGCAGATCTCGCAAGAATTCGAGAGTAGATCGACTCATGTTGGTGGTGAACTGTTCAGGTATTCTCTCCCAGGCGGCAAAATCACTAGCGGGACTGCTAAGAGGACCAGATCCGTTCGTCAGATAGCGCTCTACAGCTGCGTCGAAAGACGAAGACTCGCGCTCCCAAGCACTTCTCCCTGGTACGTTCGTGTGATGAACGACGCCGCCAATAGCGGGAGTATCTCGAAGATTCTGACCAACGCCATTTAGTTCGGACATGACGGTGATGTTGTGTCGTTCGAGTACCTCGCGCGGACCGATTCCAGATACCATGAGTAGCTGAGGAGAATGAATGAAGCCGCTGGAAACGATGACTTCTTTGCGCGCGTGAACGATGAACGGTTTCATCCCGCCAGCTGTGACGTTCACTCCCATCGCACGCTTTGACTCATCGAAAAGAATATTGCGCACCATGCAAGACTGGTAGATCTTCAAAGACGTTGCTGCAGCTGTGTGGGAAAGGAAAGCCGATTCGGTGCTACTCCTCGTACTGTCCTCGGGCCTCAACGTAAAGGGCCAGTAGCCATATCCTAGGAGGTTTCCATCGAGGAAGCCATTCGCCGCGTTCATGCCAGCAGCAGCATATCCCTCTGCACCATACGAGGCGATTGGTTGCGCGTACTTTGGAAAGCTCAAATGAACAGGACCTCCTGGGATATCGAAGGCGGAGAGCGTGAAGTTGATGTTGCTGGAATTCTCAGCGCGAAAGCGAACATCGGGTGGTGTGAAGGAGAAGCTCTTCTTCATGAAGGGGAACATGTTGTCCCACAAGTAGGCAGAGTCTCCAGTAATGTTGGCGATAGATTCATACCAACCTTTGGTTGCTCTGTGGTAAATTTCTTGATTCCGCGCCGAACTGCCCTACAAGTTGGGCTGCGATTAGCTTTTCGTCCAGAATCGTATATTTAAAGGTCACATACACCAAGCGCTTTCCCTTGCGCGTAGTGAAATCGGCGTCCATTCGCGCCGGGTATAGGTTCGGTGAAGATACCCCAGTCGATCAATGGCTGGTAGTCTTCGGGATCCGGACCAACATACATGGTCGAATAGTAAGGACTGCCACCAAGATTAGCACGTCGACATGACATACCCTCTCACAAAGAACTTACATCTGACTGTAATTCCCGTTCGATATCTCATAAAAGGAGCCAGCTTCGATGACTGCGACCGTCATGTTTGGCAATGCTTCTGCGATTCTGGATGCCGTAAGAGCGCCGGCTAAGCCAGCTCCAACGACGACATAGTCGTATGTTGCATTGATGCCTGGGTTGCCAAAGGAGTTACCTAAAAGGCGTCCTGGAGCGTAGAACTGCTGTAGCAGGCTAGGGCTGTCTAAGCTGGCTGAGGCCAAGGTGGCCAACAAACTGACTGCTGTCGCCGATACACGCATGACGCCAGTATATTATACGCGATGTGCTGAAGGACCTTTCACAGCTTGGCAACACATGTCGCTGGGCCTTCTTTATACTTGCGCACCGAACCCAATATTTCCATGATCTGCAGACACTTGGGCGGCTACCAGTCGGCGATATGGTGGTCGCATGCGTTGCTGCAATGATAGCTTGCAGAAGCTCCATGAAGCAAGTTGCCGTTTTTGGTCCAAAGCATCCTCGTTGGATGTATCGAATCTCACTAAAGCGATTGGCATCTGACGGCTCGGGCCCGATAGCTTCATTAGTGGGGATCAGTGCATGTCGACCTTTATTGGGGAACGAGCATTGTGCTTGCACTGTATGATGAGTGATGACTAGTAAGCTGTGATCTGCTCCGCGGTGGCTGGGCCGCAGTGTGTTATAGGTAGCGATGATGTCCCCAAGGAAGGTGCGAAGATAGCACGAAAGGTGGCGGGAACGCGCATGTAAATCGTCCTCACAGTGAGGTTTGTCGCGCGTTCCTACCACGAAGGGCGCGTCGACGTGTCTACCGGGGAAGGCCGATCTGCGACACTCGGCAAGTGATCATCGGCTGTCAGTATCCCCGATCCAAACCCAAACCCAAACCCAAACCATCAACTCTCGTAACGCGATATATCAATGTCACCAGGATATTTTTGATCATCAGCCATATTTTTTTTTCCAATTTAGCGCTCAGAATCTGAGTACACTGTCAAATTTACAGAGCAAAGATGCGCATACCAAGATAGAACTGTTGATTCTACCTGATAGAAAGAGGTACCTTTTTTCTACTCCACGAGGCTTGAATACCTAGGTAATGATACACAAAATCACAAGTTTCTATAATTGGATCATGTACCTATCTAACACTTAAGGAGCTGTCTAATGGATTAGAGTGGAGCTCAACGATGCACAGAAACATTAGGGGTCAGTGAGAGCTTCTTGGCAAGGCTGGATACGCTGGGAGCGCGACATCAGGAAGCACTTGCAGCAAACAGCCTTGACTGTTTTGGGAACTACAAGAAACTACTATTGTGAATACTCGATCACAGGAATAACGAACGAGACGATATCACAAATGTTGCGGGAGTTTGTTTGTCAGAGTTCTACAGGACGAAGTCGGCATCACAGTGAAAGTATCTCTCGCAGCCCACAACTACAAAAGCATCTGAACTACGATAAGATGCTTCTAGATCGAATATCGGCTACTATCACAAGGCAACAAAGCACGGAGCTTGTGTTCTTACTCAAACAACTTGCCACAACAACTCTGCTTCCTTGATCGCATACCCATTACCTAGGTGCATTGCGATACAATGAATGACGCCTCGAATATGGACAACCCCGCTAATCCTACAAGTCAAAGGTGACAGAAGATGTCACTCTTCGACAACCCTCGCGCGCGAAATGGCGGAAATTCTACCTCCTTCGTGTCCACGTCCAACACTGGTATTATGGACACTACATTTGGTTCTACCACAGACGAAGAAGACGACGATACAGAGCAACAATATCTCAACAAGATGGTCGATGACACCGATAGGAAGGTCGAGACGGTATTTGGCAAAGGCGTCGATATGTGGAAGTCTTTCAACGGTACTGTCTACGCGGACGTCAATGATGGGATCAAGAGGCAGCGCCGCGATGAAAAAACCTGGGGCAAGAAAAAGGGGAAGAGGAAGCGCGCTACAACAGAGAAAGAGAAGGGAGGAGGGCAACTGGAACAACGTTTCGAGTCACTGCGAGATTTAGAGTCGATATCCGGCTCTGGGTCTACTTCTACGCCCAGTACGTACTCCGATGACACCGTTTCTTATCCTTCGCTACCGTTGAGTGAGGGATATCAGACATTCTTTCCACGTACACCTACAGCCTCGGAGTGGGAGATCTTCCCTGTGAGGCAATCCCAATACGACGATTTCTCTGGCACGCCACTGGAATACAAGTCTATGAACAACTCTGATCGGACTAGCAAGCCCCTCTCATCAAACTCACCACGGCGTCAAAGCTTCCAGACTGCACGAACTACAAGTCACCAGTCTACATCTCCACACTTGCATCCATCAAGCTCACAGCCACAATCTATTATACCTTCGCCTCCTGCAGATGTCTTCGGCAATACGATTGATGGTACCCGCAGGATTGTGTCCGGGTCTTTTGGTAGTTTCGACGGCGGACAAGTGGATCGATTTGTTGAGCGGAGGTATAGGCTACTGCCAGAGCACATGGGCAGAGCGGGAGGGCAGAGCGGCCAGGACGGAGACGGAGATCGAGATGGAGGGCCTGCCAAGCTCAAGGGTAGACCTTGGCTAAGGAAGGGATAGTCAAAAGTGTACCCATATAGTGACAGAGATATTCTGTGTTTGAGACTATGAAGACAGTGCCTACCAAGACAGGAGCAGCATCATGTCACAGATGCAATACATCACATATCCATAAAAAGAGTCATGATCATCAACCTCTCTTTCATTCATAATCTTACACAAATCAATAGCTGGGGTATAATAAACAACGTCGCACGAAAGTATGTGGACAACGATCCTACTCATCGTCGTCATATCCGTCTCCTACAGCGGCCCATCCACACTGCCATCTCCTTCCCTCGCTCTCACCACCCATACGTAGATCTCTGGCTTGACTTCCTTCTTTCCACCTTCTGACGCGGTAGTCGTCGCTGACACTAATCAGGCTGCCGTTGCGCGCCCATGACACGCTTGTGACTTCTGCATCGTGGCCTCGTATAAGCGCTGTGCCGTGTTCGTAGATAGGAATGGTATCCGGGCAACGGGTGTTGGAGGATGATCGGGAAAGGATCGATGGTCGTGAAGGGTTTGCAGCGATGCTAGTAATATCCGGGAGATCGTCTGCGTCGTCCTCTTCGATTCTTGTTTCGCGCTTAAGGAAGGTCTCGTCGGTAGGGAACAATACGGGGCACCCGTCTGTGCTGCCAACTGCGAGCATCTCGGTGCGGTCCTGGTACGCCTTGCGTAGCGATGCCTTGACATAGAAGGAGCCGGCGTGGAAGTTCTGGTGTCGGAAACCATAGATCGGTCCCAGGCCTTCTTGGCCTACACCACAGTATTTCTGTTTTGATGAAGAGGACGTGGATAGTTCGGGTGCTACGCCGAGGATGAGGTGGCTTGTAGAGTAGGCGTACACGGTGTTGTCTTTGCTCAAGGCGTAAAGTCGTGATGCGTCACCACTGAGGGTGAGCGAGTTGATGGCAAAGTGCCGGTGGCGGTTGTGAGATTCGGGATGGCGTGTAGTCGCGATTGGTATAGCAGGTCCTCGCAGCGAATATCTGCCTCTGATGTCCCAAAGCTTGACGCATGTCGATGCGTCCGAAGCAGTCAGGAGTAGGTGTTCGCGACCTTCAGGAAGGAAAGATAGAGCCGTGACTGAGATGTCGTTTCGTCTGTTTATTGTTTCCGTCTTGCTATTGCCCAAAATCCTAGTGGCGGACGATGTAGGTGTTGGAAGGCTAATATCCGCATGTGCTGAAGCAAGCGTACGCACGACACTAGCATATGGCGCGTCGGAGCCCCAGGCTGAGTGTATTTGTCCCTGATTGCCCTTACACCGGAGATCCCAGATCTGTACTGCGCCGTCTCGACTCGAAGTAGCTACCATTTTGTCGTCACCCGGCTGGAAGCGTACTTGCTTCACTGATGACTTGTGTTTGGCCAAGACGGCGAGTGTCTGTTGGGTGCGAACGTCGATGATGGATGCAGTCTGGTCTCCTGAACCGGCGGCGAGGTGCAAGTCGTCTGAGGAGAACTGCAGGTCCATAATGGCATTGGTGTGAGCTTTCCATGTTACGGTTGGTGTGGAAAAATCGCCTTCAGAGTCTTGTAGGTGAATATATCCGTCTTCGTCTCCTATAGCGAGCATAGAGTTGGCTAAGAATAGTCAGTATTGCGATGACGTATGAGAAGAGAGGGATAGCATACTGTTGCAACTAGCTGTGCAGAACGGCGGAGCGCCCTCTGGCAGTTGACGGAAATCATCTGCGCCACTGTAGAAGTTGGAAGTCTGGTCTTGCCATGATGCGCCGTGGTCTATCCTGAACCCTCGCCCAACGCCCAGTATACCTCCAAAGGATCGCTGCAGTGTTCTCGATGGGCGTCCCAGCGTTCTTAACCTCCGTATCGGTGCTGGTTGTATGGCAGGCTCGTCTTCGTCATCCAGGTCGAGCCCGTCTTCGAGAATATCAATTGCTGGTGGAGTGACGTAACGAGATCGCTTTGAGGGCGACGACTGGACAGGAGAACTCGCAGGCGACAAGTAGGCCTTTCGCTTCCGCACACTGCTCTGCGGGGTCCGCATCGGGTTCTCAATGTCGACAAAGTTGACCGTCTTCCGCGGCGTACTCCGGGTCTCACGGCTGCGATTAAGAGCCGATCGTGTGATGTCTTGCAATTGGCGACCCGACCTGGAGAGATGTGTGCGCGACGAGACATCTTTGGAATTTCGCGGGGTGAAGAAGCGGGTGAAGCGCTTGGGCGTAATGGGCGGTGGCCGTTTTGGCTTGCGTGAACAAACGGTCGCGGATGAGGGAGGAGGTGGTGACGAGCATAGCTCAGGCGTGGGCTCTTGAAGACGCAGACTTCGAGGGGCGCATGGAGAAGACATGATCCTGTTCAGCAGTACACATATACAAGTAGCACCAATGGACGATCAGATAAACACACGCGAGTAATTGGAGACGCAAATGAGGATATGAGACGAAAGCTCATGTATGACGGCGAGGTTGGAGAGGAAGGCGCACGGCCAAAGCACGTCGCGATGGGCAGGCGCGACAGACGTGCTACGCTATGCCGTCTTGGGTGTTAAGTGGCTTGGCTGTGCCTCGAGAAGAGCTCTCCGTTTGCCGTACAGCAGGGCAAAAGTCCTCAAATTTGCGGAAGAAGACATCAGAAACGTATAGTTTGGTCTGAATTCTAAGTTATGTCTTCCAATGCTGTGCACATGTCTCTTGAATGGAAAGTTGCTCTTCCGAACCTCGTTGCCCTGCCATTTGGTCTCACGTGCCCCGAGCGCGATTCCCTGTCGTCGGGGGTCGGAGAATCTGCGTGCATGGACCCACCAAAAAAGTCGAAGGCCATATGCGACTCTCGAACTCTTGGCGGAAACTTCAGTACCACCAAGCTCTCCACCACCGGAGAAGTAGCGCATCGCAATGGGCGCAATCAAACGAAAAGCAGAGCAGGGCGCCACGCCATCGAAGAAGTCGAAGAGCGCGCCGGCCGACCGATCAACGAAGCGACGGAAATCCGACGTCGAGCAGCCATCGCCGGAAAAGTCAAAGCCTGAGAAGGCTGCGCCGAAGCCCAGCGTCTTCAAGGATGAGGAGAAGTCCTTCCCCAGAGGAGGCGCCAGCGTCTTGACTCCGCTTGAGCACAAGCAGATTCAGATCAAGGCGAATCAGGACGTTCTTTTCGAGCAGGCTGGCGGCGTAAAGCGAACCGGCGGCGGCGACGATGGATTCAGCGACATGGGCTCCGAAGACGACGAAAAGGCAGCCGCCAAGTCGAAGAAGAAGCCGCTGACCAAGAAGAGCAAGAAGTCGCATGACAGTGGAGAGAAGGATGACACTGTGAGGGCCGAGGGTCTGAGCTACAAGGTATGCCAGTCGCAGAGTTTGCGCGCTGTGAGAATATACTGACCAAAGCAGAAATTGTCGCCTGGGACCATCATTCTCGGTCAAGTAACCGACATCTCTCACCAAGACATCGTACTCGCCCTCCCAAACAACCTCGTTGGCTACGTCCCACTCACCGCCGTATCCGACAAACTCAACGAGAGACTCGAGAAGCTTCTCAAGGAGGAAGAGGCGGACAAGGAAGGAAGCGACGATGATTCTTTCGAAGATGTGGAGCTAAAAGAAATGTTCTCTGTTGGACAGTACTTGAGGGCATGCATCACAGCGACGACCGACGAGAGCGCAAGAGCGCGAAAGAGACTAGAGCTGTCCATCGACCCCAAGTTGGTCAACAAGGGTCTCAACAAGCGGAAGATACCAGTGAACAGCATGGTACAGGCCTCCGTGGTCAGCAACGAGGATCACGGTCTGGTCATGGATCTGGGCCTTGACGACAGCAGTCTGAAGGGCTTCCTGCCTAAGGGAGAACTGGGACCCAAAGTTCAGCATGCCAAGGTACAAGAAGGCGCCGTCTTCATGTGCCTGGTTACTGGCCTCAACTCCGATGGACGCATTGTCAAGCTTTCCGCGGACCACACCAAAGCAGGCAACTTGGCCAAGGGCAACACACTGACCGAAGCACCTACCATCGATGTGTTCCTTCCAGGAACCGCCGTTGATGTACTCGTGGCCGACACAACAGCTACCACACTAACTGGTAAGATCCTGGGCCTTATCGACGCAACCGCCGATGCCTACCACTCCGGAGCGACCGAGAAGGCTGCCAATGTGTCCGAGAAGTACAAGATTGGCTCCAAAGTCAAGGCTCGTATCCTATTCACATGCCCAGACTCAGAGCCCAGGAAAGTCGGTGTTTCATTACTAGACCATGTTGTGAGCCTGTCCACCCGTATGTCCGGCAAACCCAAGGAGCGCAAACCTCCTGTCAATCTTCTACCAATCTCAACTGTCATCGAAGCTGCAAAGGTCATCAAAGTAGCGCCGGCCCATGGTGCTTTCTTCGATCTCGGTATAAAAGACGTTGGCGGTTTTGCGCATATCTCAAAGCTTTCCGACGACAAAGTCGACGTTCTCTCCGAAGAGGCTGGTGCATACAAGCTCGACTCGAAACACAAGGCACGCATTATCGGTTACAATGCCTTGGACGGACTTTTCCAGCTTTCACTGGAGCAAAAGATCCTTGATCAGCCCTTCCTTCGCATAGAGGATATCAAAGCTGGTGAAATCGTCAAAGGCAAGGTCCACAAGCTCATCGCCGACAAGACTGGAGCTACCGCTGTTCTTGTTCACCTCGCCGAGGGCATTACCGGTCTAGTCCCTGAGATGCATTTGGCCGATGTCCGTCTGCAACATCCGGAACGCAAATTCAGGGAAGGCGTGCCAGTCACAGCACGTGTACTTTACACCGAGCCAGCCAGACATCAGATTCAACTTACTCTCAAGAAGTCCCTGGTCAACTCAGATGTGAAGCCATGGACCAACTATTCCATGCTCAGGGAGGGTGCTGCTGGCCCCGGTATCTTAGTTAGCGTTCGTCGCAATGGTGCCACAGTACGTTTCTACGGCGATGTAAAGGCATGGCTTCCAGCTGCAGAGATGAGTGAAGCATACATTGAGGATGCTACGCGACACTTCACAAACGGCCAGGTTGTCAATGTCCGCGTCATCTCTGTAGATGCGAAGGAGAAGCAACTCTTGGTGTCCTGCAAAGACCCCGCTGCTGTCGACATCAACAAAGAGGCTGCTTTCAACGCGCTTAACCCTGGAGGTATCGTAAAAGGCACAGTGATTGAGAAATCCGACGAGATTGTCACCCTGGACATCGGAAACGGCGTTAAGGGTATTCTTCGTATTGGTCACCTTACAGACGGCTCGGAGAAGAAGGACATCTCGACGATGAAGAAGATCCGCGTCGGAGGAACGCTAGCAGACCTTGTGGTATTGACAAAGCATGGCAAATCCAGGACAGCAACTGTCTCGAATAAGCCTAGTCTCCTGAAGGATGCTCAAGCTTCCAAGTTTGCTCTCAGCATTGAGGACATCTCCGCTGGCGAAACAGTACATGGCTTTGTTCGTGGTATTCTACCTGACAAGATCTTCATCGAACTCGGCAATGGCATAAGCGGTGTACTTTTCAAATCACAACTACCGGAGGAGATGCTTTCTGCACCGAACTTTGGTCTCCGCAAGGATCAGTCTGTCACTGCTCGTGTGACACACGTGGATGCCGGAAAGGGATTCTTCTGGCTGTCGATGAAGGCCGAAGGTGACATGGATGCTGCCAACACTATTGATACTCCAGCATCAAAAGGAGAAGCCCTGGTGGAACCTGTAGATCCCAAGATCACATCTACCGACGACATCAAGTTCGGCGCGCTAGCAACTGTCCGCATTCGGTCAATCAAGGACACTCAACTCAACGTTGAGCTTGCCGCAAACGTGCCTGGACGTATCTCAGTTTCGGAACTGTTCGATTCCTGGGACAGTATTCCAGACAAAAAGCATCCCACAGCACATTTCAAGACCAACGAGAAGATCCAGGCCAGAGTTCTGGGAAGACACGATGCCCGTAACTTCCGTTTCCTTCCTATTACGTCCCGATCGAGCAACAAGACACCCACTTTCGAGCTAACAGCAAACACGGACAAGATCAAGACGGAAGCTGATGTGCTGAGCCTCGACAAGATCACGCCTGGATCATCCCACGTCGCCTTTATCAACAACATTGCTGAGCGATATGTCTGGGTGAACATTTCTGCCAACGTCCGTGGGCGCATTGACTATTTCGACCTCACCGACGACCTGGAGAAACTTTCGGACATCGCCGAAAACTTCCCTGTAGGCTCTGCTCTCAAGGTTCGCGTTAAGGCGGTCGATGTTGCAGCAGGAAAATTAGACTTGACAGCTGCAACCACTCAGACTGGCAAGTCGTTGACCCTTCAAGACTTGAAGGTTGGCCACATCTTGCCTGCGCGAGTTACTAAGCTGCATGACGCATCGATCGTTGTCCAAATCAACGACAATATCGCCGCGCCCATTTTCCTCGAGCAGCTAGCAGACGATTATGACAAGGCCAAACCAAGCGAGTTCAAAGTTGGTGATGTCTTGCGGGTTTGTGTGATCGATGTCGATATCCCCAACAAGAAGTTAGGGTTGTCTATCAGGCCCTCCAGGGTATTGAGCTCTTCACTGCCAGTTAAAGATCCTGAAATCAAGGACAGAGCTCAGCTCAAGGTACATCAGGTGGTTCGTGGATTCATCAAGCACGTTGCCAACAACGGTGTCTACATCCGCCTTGGACCTCATGTCGAAGCCTACGTTCGGGTCAGCCATCTTTCGGATGAATACATCAAAGACTGGAAGACTGCATTCCACGTAGATCAACTCGTGACAGGCAAAGTCATCTCGAACAAGCCAGATCAGCGCAATCCACAATTGAGCTTGAAGGCCTCGCATGTTCAAGGAACCTACACTGAGCCGGTTGAGTTCAGTGATCTGAAGGTTGGACAGATCGTCGCCGCAAAGGTTCGACATGTAGCAGACTTTGGTGTGTTCCTTGTTATCGACGGCTCAAGCAACGTCAGTGGACTTTGCCACATCTCTCAGCTGGCGGACACTGCCGTCGACAAGGACAAGGTCAAGGAGATGTACAAGGAAGACGATGTCGTCAAAGCAAAGATCATAAAGATCGACTCAAAGTCCAGGAAGATCAGCTTCTCCTTGAAATACTCTCAAGTAAAAGGTGACGATGAGGATGAAGATATGGAAGACGCTTCTGAAGCCGAGCAACTAGACGGAAGTGACTCGGATGGCGGCATCGAGCTCGACGGCATCGATCTCAATGACGACAGTGATGACGACGTGGATATGAGGAGCGTCAAGAGTGCTGACAGCGATGAGGACGTTGAGCTTGCAGACGTAAACGCTTCTGACGATGATTCTGACGATGACGCGCCAAAAGCGGCAACCCAAGGACTCAGCACTTCTGGTTTCGACTGGACTGGTGCGACTCTCGACTTTGACGAGCAAAAGGGTGCAGCTGAGCTCGATTCTGACGATGATGCCCCAAAGAAGAAGAAAAAGAGCAAGAAGGCTACCATCAAAGAGGATCGTACTGGTGATCTCGATGCTTACGGCCCGCAATCTGTCGCTGACTACGAGCGCTTGCTTTTGGGACAGCCAAACAGCGCTGAGATGTGGGTTCGGTATATGGTTTTCCAACGTGAACTCAACGAGATCGAAAAGGCGCGCCAGATCGCTCGTCGCGCATTGGCAACCATCAACCCTAGGGAGGAGAAAGAGAAGCTTGATGTGTGGACCGCCTTGCTACATTTGGAGAACGACTTCGCTAGTGACGATGCTCTGAAAACAGTCTTCAAGGAGGCGTGCCAGAACAATGACGCCCGTGAGATGCATGAGCGCATGATCAAGATCTACATCTCCTCAGGCAAGATCGACGTATGTATCACTCCATGTTCGTAACCCCGCAACTTTTACTAATATCAGAACAGAAAGCGGACAACCTCTACCAGTCAATGATGAAGAACAAGTCCTTTACCCCTGACCCTCAATTCTGGCTTTCTTACGCGTCATTCCTGATGGACGTCATCCAACCACCCTCTCCCACACGGGCTCGCGCCCTTCTTCAACGCGCGACCCAGTCCGTTGCCTCAACCCAACACCGTTACCTAACCCAGAAGTTCGCAGCGCTTGAGTTCAAGAGCCCCAACGGTGACGCCGAGCGCGGTCGCACCATCTTCGAAGGCCTCGTCGATACCTTTTCCAAGAAGGGCGATGTTTGGGATATGTACCTTATGTTGGAGCAGAGCCATGGTAGCGCAGAGAACGTCCGTGATCTGTTTGAGCGTATGACCAAGGTTGGTAAAGCATCGAGGATACGGAGCGTGTTTAAGAAGTGGGCGGAGTGGGAGAGCAGTGTTGGTAATAAGAAGGGCGTAGAGAAGGTCAAAGCACTTGAGGAGGGGTGGAGGGAGAAGAAGGCGGAGAAGGGTGAGGACGCCTAGATAAGGGAGGCAGCATGCATTGCATCGAAGGTGTTTGGCGTAGTTTGAGTAAAAGTCTGTAGTGTTATGTTGGACTATTCATTTATTCACAATACCCCTGTTATCATACCGAGATGCCTTTCGTGATTTTAGTCGATTTGCATACGAAGTTCTTGATGGCTATTTCACATGACCAACTCAAGGTAATCGCTCACCTAGGCAGGCGCAATGAGTGATGTGAGTTTAGCGTCTTGGCCATCACCAGCTTACCAGTTTCTACATTACGTCACTTCTTATCTCAGGTCCTTCATTACAGACACTCACCTTGCGCAAAGCGACAGCGACGATCACACAGAATCAATAGGTGTCTGTAAGGATGTCACTTTCCTGCGTTACTCCGGAAAGGCCACTAACAGCATTGCGCAAGTGATGATGCTCCAGTTAGACTTGAGCTAGTCAGCAGCCCCACCATGGACGCGTCCCTGTCCGGACCTCGAGGCCTGTACGCTCCCTTGCCGACAGCAACATCGATACGCGTCATCGAGCTTCATCCACTACAAGGCGATAACGCCCCTATCAATTGCACACTTCACCTTACTAATCTAGAGCGCGAGACCCTGGACTTTCAAGCGTTGTCTTACACGTGGGGCGATCCGCTGTACCGGTACTGGTTCGATCGGGAAAAACACACAACTTGGGTGCGAGATGTACCTATTGTATGCAATGACGTGTCAGTTGATGTTACAGTCAATCTGGAACACGCGCTTAGAGCAATTTGCACGCGACGTATGAATTGCCATGAGCTCAAACACCAAGTGCAGTACTTGTGGATTGTTCGTGGTGTCCCTGCATCTACTATATACGAGATGCTGGCTGACTCTGGACGTTGAATATAGGACAAGTTGTGCATCAACCAGGACGATGTCCAGGAACGGAACACGCAAGTTGGCTTGATGGCCCAAATCTACAGCAAAGCTTCTTTAGTTATCTCGTGGTTAGGCCCAGCGGACAAAGACAGCGACCAAGCTATACCGCTTATGCAGCGCCTTAATAAGCTACAGTGCTTTGACGACATGCAAGGACATCAGCAATGCTCGAATTACTCGGACTTTATGGAGAGAATTTTGAGTGAGGACGACACTACAGAAATCGACTCGATCCCTAAGGAACAGTATGAGAAATTGACTCGTTTTCTCGCCAGGCAGTATTTCTTCCGCTGCTGGGTCCTTCAGGAAATCATGCTTGCTCGGCGGATATGCATGCTGTGTGGAACGGAGATTGTGGACTTCTCGGACCTTCAGAGGATCGCCTTGCTTGTCGCTTGGATCAAAAAGCATCATCTTCATTCTCCAATCGGGCAAGCATTGGACCTTCCTATCAAACCGAATCGAAACTTTGATCATGAAAAGGCTATCCTGGAGCTATTCCAAGACCGATGGCGGCTGTTATACAAAACTGAGACGCAGCAACAGAAACTGCCTTTTACTTTTGAACAACTTCTTACTCTAGCTCGTATGTCCGGATGTGCAAACCCCAAAGACAAGATATTTGCACTACTAGGCATCGTACCGCGCGGTGCCTTCGGAATAAGTGTTGATTATAACAAGACGACAGAGCAGGTCTATAGCGAGGCGATCCGACGCCTTATTCAGGAGACGAAGAACCTCAATTGCTTGAGCTGGGTTACGGATAGATCTCTGAGGAGGTTTCCGAATTCCCCAACCTGGGTCGGAGAGTTTGACGATAAGGCCGAGCAATCGGAGCTTGCGTTCGCAAGTGTAGGCTACAATGCCACTTCGGGATCAATATTGGACGTCATGGGCACTGGTTCTGAAAGCAACAGCGTACTTCGAGTTCAAGGTGTTGAAATTGGCCGGATTGTGGAGCTGGCTGAGCCATGGGAATGGCACGGCGGGCGCTTGAAGTTCGATCCTCAGTGGGTCACCCTCACACTCAATCTACCAAAGGTCTACCGCCCTACAGGAAAACCACGAGGCGAGACATTGGTTACTACCCTGGTTGCTAATCATGTCGACCATATGCCTCTCGATCACCAACCCGACATGGACCATTTCAAATACGTGGTCCGGCGACTAACCTGCGCTGCAGTCGTCCGCTACCTCCATTATCTATTCTACTACTCTGATAGGACGAAGTCCGGGGTAGCCTATAAGGACAAAGCTTTGCCGTTCTTTCGCGATTTAGATATGTTGTCTGGAGGCGATAACACTGGCTTCATCACATCTTCGGCTGAAGTTCGGCAAGCGGAGCAACAAAGTTGTACTTGTAAGGCCAATTTGTCGTTCGTCGACATTAGCAGTGCATCTCTACCTCGTCCTCCACCTGACTCCGGATGTCCCTACATTGCCGACTTCAACCGACCAAATCCTCGCAGTCATCCCTACAGAACTTCCATTAGCGACCGCATAGCGCGTCTCGGAGCTGCAGCAAGTGATGCAGACATCAAGCGAGACTGGAGGGATCACAACTTTGGTAGAGCAGCTAATAGACATGGTCAGTTTCGGCGTTTGGCGAGGACAAACAACGGCTATCTGGGCCTGGTTTCAACTAGCTGTGAAGTCGGGGATGCAGTGTGGTTGCTGCAGGGCGCCAACGTTCCTTACGTCTTACGGGGAATCGGAAAGTACGCTGGCAATGAAGCAACAGGGAGCGTATGGGAAGTGGTCGGTGATGCTTACGTACACGGTGTTATGCAAGGAGAGATATGGAAAGACGCCAAAGATCAACTAGTGAATATTGAGCTAGTGTGAATGCCACTGGGCCCCATCGCTACCCCGCCCATACTCTATCGCTATACTTACGAAGTACTCACTACTTTCGACATCAAAACAAGTACCCGTAGAAGATGTCGTATACCTGCAGGATATGACATACGCTCGCACGGCGAACTAGAGATCTACCTGGCATTTATCGAGCTAACGGATAATACTTGACCTGACTACGAACCTCTGAGGTCGTTGATGTTACCTGCGTTGATCAACGTCATACTCGGCATCGGATAGGTTCAATATCCCATGATTAATCGAAACGCAAGCTCAATTCGCAGCACTCACTCCACTTCACACATGGTAAGGTTACTTAACAGCTCTGGACAGTGCGTCCATGCTGCCTTTAGTTGTCATGCTGTACTGTTCAGGCAGACTCGACCTGACTAAGGATGAATGATAACCACTTATATTCGGCCGTCGGAGACATCACGAAAGCTTGCTCTCCATCTACGTACAGAAACTAGTCGTCATCCAAGTTTTCCTGGTTCCACTGCAGCATCCCATACACTGAAACTGTCTTTCCACGTGTTATCTTTGACCAATTTCTCTCCTTCACTACCTCTTCAATACTCGTTATACCATGAAACCTGTCTTGTAACCCGGTAACAACAGCTTTGATACAGCATTTGACCTTGGGATCCAGCATGATTGTGACCAGCTTATCCAAATTAGCGCTTACATCCTTTTTCGATGCTCCCACCATGTCGAGTCGATCAATGATCAGTATAGCGGTGGTACTAGTATCGAGAGCTTGCAAAAGCTTTATAAGAATACTCTTTCGGTCACAAGGAGTGTTCTGGTTTGGTTGAAGTTCTTGGTAGACTTCTTCGTGATGGTCCTCGAAGAAAGTCCTGCTACTGTTCAAGACTTGGAGAATGAGGCTAGATAGAAGCCGATCGAACGAAACCTCTGGTTGGCGGAACAGTCCTTGTTGTTGGCAACTCGGGGAATAGAACGCAGATACATGAGATGCTTTACACATCTCAGAGACCTGCAGAGTTGCTGGTGAAAGCCACAGTAGTCCACGATTGTAGTCGTGAACCTCGAAGTTCTTGCCCAGTAAAAGAAGCAGGGACGGATTCCTACATTTTGCCCAATCTTCGAGATGTGCCACCTGTCGTAGAAGCTCGGGATTCATCTCTTGAAGTTTCACTAGGCTGTAGTGAGACTGCATGTTGCTGAACACATGCTCATAGAGCTTTACACAATGTTCTTTCATTTGATCCGCATGTGCTTCTGTGGAGTAGTTTTCAGCCATGACTACCTTTTTTAGCCGGTTGATGTGGTCATTGTATGCTTTTTCGCTGTCCTTTTTGTTCTTCTCTGTGAAAATCAGTGCTGTACTAGGGTAGTTTCATCACAACATACCTTTCTGTTCACGTTCTTGCAGTATATGATACGTCTGAATCGCATCCAGGATACTGTCCTTTATATCACCGAGCTCGATCGCGATGTTTAGTTTATATGGGTTTGCAACAGCTTCCCATACCCTCTCTGACACGGTCAGTACTTGACTTTATAACGCTCGAGACTGCGATCACCGAGTTCAAACATACTTACTCCAAGGGGGCATGTTGTAATATGCAGTCGACTTTTTGCAGAACCTTTCCACTTCCTCGTATACCTTTTGAACCGGCCTCATCATATCGGAATGTTCAAGGGTATCTGAAAGTATCTCCATGTTCTTCAGGCCGAGCGTGAGTCGTTCGATTCCTTTCGTGATGGTCTCCTCGCGGCCAATCTTGTTCTTCCCTACCTAAAACAATAAGAACAGGACAGCAATAGCGGGATTTACGACGCCACATACTTGGAATAGCATCGAGAGTGCACCAATCAAACCACCACCGACTCGTGGATCGATGGCTTTGGCCACGTCACCAGTACCTGAGAATGTCTCTGACAATTCAGACATCTTTTTACAGAACCGTTCTAAACGATCGGTTCTCCGTAGCGGGCCACGCCTTCTTCTTCTTCGGATTTGTAGCTCTTCTTTTTTCTTTGCGCAATTTTGCAACTCTCGTTGAACATCATCTTGGAGTTCTTTGAAATGCTGTACGTCAGGACTGGTGTCAGTTGCAATGTTCAGGAAGGCAAAGACGTCGTTCTGAATGTTAATCATTATGCCGGAAGTGTCGCATGGATGATTCGAGAGAAAATAATCCCGATAAAACCAAAGAGTCTGTATGTGCTCAATGAAGCCATGACAAAAAGTAAATGATAAGCACAGGATCTTCTCGTTGCAACAAAAGCCACCAAACATACTAGATCTACTTCTTCACCGATCAGTATCAGCTGGAGATCCTTCAAGAGGCTTGGCTTGCGCCTCATCGCGAAATTAGATGAGTTGTCTGCAAAGCGATTGGATGGACGGCTCTTCCGAACAAGGCTGAGCGTTTAAGCACATACACAATTGGTATATGCTTTGGTTCAGCCTGCTCTGGCTCAGCCTGCTCAGTCTCAGCCTTCTTTAGATTCTAACGTACATGAAGATCGGATCAAGTTCAGGCATAGTGGCTGTGGGTGACAGGTTGTTTATCCACTAAAGATGGTGAATGTAGCTGTCAGTCGTCATAATCACAGCCTCTCGGAATCATTGGAGCACATCCATCTGAGTTGATGCGTAGACCCCGGACCAGTGTCCTGCGTGTCTTCCGGTCAACATACCTAGGTAGTCAGGCGTTTTTAGAAAGCCATCGAAATGTGTCTTCCGGTCAACAGAGCGAGGCGATTTTAGAACGCCATCAAGTTGCCACAGTTCTAATGTACCTACCTCTTCACTGCTCCACTATCATGTATATATTAATGCAAGTCCGAAGTACGGAGACAGAACATACGGCTTTGAAATTGCACAAGCAGCTATAATTCAGATATTTGAACAGGTACTTTCGCTGTAAACAACGCTTTTCCAAGAGTATTAGCTCCGAAACAACATGTCTATTAGCGAGGTAAGCGGATATTGTTATGTTGAGCTTCATGATCTGACCGCCCAGGAACCTGCTTCTAACGAGACTGCTGCCAACGACACTGCCTCTGATACAGCCCCAGAAGATCTTCGAACTTTGGTAGACCAGCTCAGAGCAGAGGTCTCAGCCCTGAGGCTTATCGTAGACAGAGACGACAAGATTACCCGTCCAGCAAGTTCTGCGCTTGTCCCTACACTGAATGTACAGCCTCAGCACCATTCGCCAACCACGGGTTCTTCCGATGAGTCCAAGTGGAGAATCAAATATACAAGTATCAGGACGGATCTGAGCGGGTGAAAAGTGGAAAAGAATGGGGATCCACCCAATCTCAAACCGACCATGGATGATTCAACTGAGATTGCGTTTGAGGCTAGGGAAACCTTCAATGAGAATAACAAAATCAGCGCGCGGGAGATCGTTTTGAAGTCTAAAGAGCTCAAGCGACTCATTTGGACCATCATCGGTGAATGGCTTCGTCATGAGAAGCGCATCAGCCCAAATGACTGGGAAAGCGAGGACCAGACCTGGACCGCTTCGTTCATATTCGCCACACACTACTGGACAGAATTCGAGGCTGAAGTAGCGAAGAACATCGACGATCAGCCACATCGAGACTTGAAAGACTTACTCGAATACATTGAGCTCGTACAGCCTGATCTTGTTCGGATCCGAAGACAGCTACAGACGCTGGATAGAATCCCATATCGCTACCTATGGATGCTTTTTAGGCCCGGCTCCCTGATTGTTGCGAAACCCTCCGCAGACCCATCGCACATTCAAGTACTTCAAGTCCATTCTCACAGACCTTCCTCTCGACTCGATCGCCAGGGCGAAATGGCTGTTGTTGCTTGGGCGTTTGACTGGAATGGCACGAAGCTAGTCAAAACGTATTACGAATTTCCTCTGGGAGGTAAGGATCAATTGGACATCGAGAACCAAGTACGGATAGTTGATCTTGACTGTTTGCCGATCCGATATTATCGGAGTGACGACAGTCTGAGCGAGGGCGATCTGGTCTCACTCCGTAGCCAGCTCAAGGAGCGAGGTCAAACTTTGCGCGAGTGTTGCGTTCATAAGAGGGGAAAAGACAAGATGTGCTCCTTCGATGGAACGATTGAGATACGGGAGGATCAAGACAGAAATGTCACAGGTCGAAAAGTTTGTGATACAAAGAGACTATAAGAATCTAGCTAATACGGTGTAGATCGACAATAAGCCCGCGGTGGTCGATTTCGAAGCTTACCGGGAGAACTGCGGTTTTTCTCCCAGGTTGGGACGCTTCAGAATGTACGGCTCCGATATGTGTCACTGTGGCTTCTGTGTCGGTAAGCCAAGATCGGATTGGATGGACACCTTCAAGAACCCTGCGATAAACTTTGATGACCTAGCCAAGATCCCGGATAGTGAGGACAACTGGCTGCTTCTACCTTATCGTGTACTTGGCTATCTGATCGAAGATCATCTTTGGGCGCAACTTCCTGTTAAGTGGATCAAACAGTTCGAGCATGAAGAAGAAAATGCCTACGATACCAAGATCATGTTTCCTGAAGAAAAGGCGCACCAGAAAAGGGCACTGGAAAAGCTTATTCTCTCACGTACGGGTCAAGATGACAACGCAAAGCAGGATAAGTACTGGGTGTCAGACTTCGTGAAAGGGAAAGGCAAAGGTCTCGTCATTCTACTTCACGGTAGGCTCAGAAGTGAACACTCTTCACCTTGTGACGTGCTAAAATAAGTCTAGGGGCAACTGGCCTTGGGAAGACGTCAACTGCAGAGACTCTTGCCAAGACAGCACGGAGGCCTTTGCTCAAAGTCAGTGCCAGTGGGATTGGCACCTCGCCTAAAGCTGCGGAAGACAACCTCATGAAATACTTCAGGCTGGCCAGCAACTGGGAGGCTATCCTTCTTTTGTAAGTTACTCCATCCATGGCAACCTTATCCCAGACCTTAGCTTATACAGGTAGGGATGAAGCAGATGTGTTTCTCGAGACTCGCGGTACACCTGGAGAGAAGGTTTTCGAGAGAAATGCTCTCGTATCTGGTGTGTACTAGTATTGTTCGTCTGACTCGCCTGCTCAAGCTGACACCTCTTAGTGATGCTTCGTATACTTGAGTACTTTGATGGTATCCTTGTCCTCACTACAAATCGTGTTCTGAAACTCGACATCGCAATGCTCTCACGGATTCACTACGCTGTGCATTTTACAAATCTCAGCAAAAAACAGGAGGAGCTTATTTGGAAGCAACAGCTGAAACAGCTGGATCCCGAGACCGGAAACTGTGAGTCAGAGGAAAAGAAAAAGATCGATGATTGGGCACATGAGTATCTCGAGAAGCAGCGAGGAACCAGTTACAACCAACGGATCAGACTGAACGGTAGGGAGATACAGAATGTTTTCAAGACAGCTCAAAGGCTGGCTAGCGGAGACAAAAGAAACATCAAGTGCCAGGACTTGAAGGAGGCAATTGAAGCAACAAGTAACTTCCGTGCAGATATGAGAGATCGCGTTATGGAAGCCGAGAAGAAGCTGGTTGTGAAGGTCGATGAGCCAGAGTCGTAGTGTTTCATGAAGCAAAGAGAATGGATAGTTATGATCAGATTGCAGTCAAATACAGTGGAGCAAAGTGTTTTTCTCGAGTGGCCTTCAGTACGATACTTGCTTTGGAATGGCAACGTAGAATATATGTCGCTCGTAGGACGTTTGAGGGACTTGCACGTTAACCATTGCTTGTCGGAATGATACTTTCAACAATGTGGCTGGCCGATATGGTACTTTTGATCCTAATCAGCTTATCTCCTGCAAAGGCTGGTAATACTTGTCTGTAAATCTTACTCGCGTGCACTCGTATGGTTAGCACTTCTTCGCACAGCCGGTCAGATGCGCTCCATCTCTGGTCAATTACCTTATTTCCGTGTCAGCGGTGGCATGTCCAACACTCTGGCAACGCTGACTTGAGAAAGGTGGTGTGGTTTGGTGTTATATGGTTTGATGTAAAAAGTGGCAACGGACTTTTCTTGTCACTGTTTAGCTAGATTCTTAGTATTCGATAGAGATGCTCCCTTTTGCCATAAAACTGCTTCTTTGCCGAGCAAGACCCTAGTATCATCTTGCTCTAAACGTAGTGGTATCAATAACGTTATTCCTCTCGTCTACATCGTATCTATACTAGTGTTGCGTATATAATGCTTCCATGAACCTGTAAACAACAACGCTCCAATACCTGATTCCTCTACATGCTCCATTGTCCATCATATCCCTCTGCTCACCCCTGCGAACCCTGCATCACCACATCACCGTCATGAAGCTCCTGCGTTCCAGCCAAACTTGCCGACCCGTCCCGGGTTCCCATGTAACTGGCCGAACCCTCTTCATTCCACCCATCGCACCTCCAACCCATACCCGCCCATTCCCTCCCTGCCGTCCTCATGACAGCATCAAAATCCACATCAGCATCGAACCATTTCTCCTTCCTCTTCGTCTCCCTAATACCTCCCTCAAGTGCCACACGACTCGCTCTTGTAGTCCTACCTCTCTTGCCTCCTATTCCACCAGCAGTATTCAGCACACTCGACATCCTCACACGCTGTTCCTCAAGGATCAGCTCGTGCGCAACGATACTGCGGACGTAGGGTGCGAGATCGAGTGTGATGATGCTGAATGTGCGGTCAAAGGACGATGGTATGAAAATGAAAGAAGAGCGTTCGGGGAGGAGTTGGTCGGGTGGGTCGGCGAGGGGATCAAGGGCCAAGGCGAAGTCGGGGCGTGTGAGGGTGGTTTTTTTATTGAGGATTTTACGGTGGTGGAGGATGGCGCGAGCGTAATCGGATTCTTTGCGTAGATTGGGGGTTGATGACAGGCTGTGGCTGTGGGATAGATCTGGGTATGTACGCTGGATGGCAAGGTGGGCTTGGGTAGAGAACGCGGTATCGAGGTTCAGGAAGTCGGAGCTGTGGTCGACTTGGAGGAGAGGTGCGGCGAGCGTGTAGCTAAGGCGTGATTTTTCAGTAATCGCGGGCTGGGTTGAATCGGTGGGTTGATTAGAGCTAGGGTCGTAAGTGGGTAGACCGACCCGACAGAACATGTCTGCAGCACTCAATGAATCGGCGTAGTTGTCAAGACTTATGAGATCTCCCAACTGATCGAACCACTCAGTACTTGGTTCCCTAGATGACCGTGTACCACTTGCTTCAGGGATTCCCCAAGCTGACGGGCTGATACCCCAGTCCGCCCAGACTTCTTGTAAAAGTTCTTCTTCTTTGTCAAACACAGGATTGCCTTGAGTTTCGAGGACGTTGTGTGATAGCCAACCCATGCCGGACTTGTATGTGCCTTCACTTGCAACTCTCAATGTTTGACCATGCTCATTTGTATCTTTGCCGGGTGGCCAGCGTTGGTACATCCACTCTAGGCCACCCTTCCTGTCGCCCACAGACATCTGGCACCAAAAGTCAAGTTCCATGATACTAGCTCGAAGGTCGTAATCCTTCGATTCATAAAGCTCTTTCACAGCCTGCCGCTCCAGGATATGGCCTTCCCTACCAGCAAGAACAAGCAAGTAGTCGGTGGCCAGTTCCACAGGAGCAGGTTGAAGGCGGAGGATGGCTGCTATCGGCAGATCTTGCATGGGTATTTGCCGCTCATCGTTGCACGTGATGACGATCGGACGTTTCGACAAAGAAGCGATTTTGGTAATTTGAGCCCAGAACTGCTGGTCCTCCTCGAAGAGTATATCGGCCTCTTCGATGAGGATTAACGATTGTTTTTGTGATGTATGCGACGCCTGTGCCATGGGAAGAGTAGCTTGAGCTGAGGGTGCTGGTGCTTTGTGAACCTCAGGGACTTTCGCCTTAACTTTCGGTTTGACCGCCCCTGTTCCGGGTTTTACTTGGAAGAAGGATGCCATGGTCGCTTGCCGCCCACTACTAATGTCATCTTCTAGAACAGCGTCTACCCGGTTGTCATTCGCATCATCCGCCGCTTGGACGTTCTCTTGCACGGATGCTGCGCTGCGTTTGTGATTCACGAGATGGTTCGCAGTCATATCACCGACCTTGTCTTGGATGTCTTTTCCTGAACGGCGCATGCCAGCATGAATCTCAAAAACCTCAAAGCCTAGCTCTTTCGCTACAGCATGTACAGCCGCACTCTTACCACAGCCATGAGGGCCGCTGATGAGTACGACGTTATTGTTACGTATCCACTGCGGTTGGCGGAAAGACCTCGAAGGCAAGCCTGCCCCTTCCGCAGCTGGAAGCATAACCATGTCTTCCTCCTCATCCCCTTCACCGTCTGGCACAATGAAGTCGTCTAGAGCTTTCTTTCGTTTCTTCCGTGGAGGCTGCTTGCCATCTACTGTAGTAGCGACTTTCGACGCGCCGCTTACAGCCATGACTGTCAGACTTTGTAACCAGTCTTTGAGGACCACTGCTTCCATGCCCGTCTGTAAAACATGCGACGCATACTTGGGGCAGTACTTCAAAGTCCAAGGTTGAGATTCGCATCTTCCTTCGTCAAACGGGGTGAGAGTGCTCTCAATCCCTTGGAAAAGATCTCTTACGGAGGGGTGGGACTTTTGTCGAGCATCCTGTGGTATACCTGACGAAGACAACCGGACCAGCAGTTGCTCACGCACTCTACGCTGTATCTCTGCCCCAGTAGTAAGCAGCCTCTTGGGCAGACGAACATCTTCTGGGGGCTCGAATTCAGAATGTGACCGAGCCTTGCTCCCACTGTGGCTTTTGAGGTTCTGCGCTAGTCTCTCAACCACATTTTCATGTTCTGGGAGTGTCACCACAGCGTTCTTCAGTTTTCGCGGCCTTAAAGGCAACTGCATACTTGTCGCGTTTTGCAGACGTGATGGTGTACAATCGAGATTGCGGACGTGTGCGTTTTCACCAGTAGGCCAGGAAGCTTCGTTCAAACCGGATTGTTTTCCCACCCTATCTGACTGCAACCCTCTGTTGAAAGCCTGCGGACCTTCAGGCGATTGGTCTCGTCGAAATTCAGCACGCAGCTTTCCTGGAGTACAAGCGCTCTTTCTTGGGGTTGCCGGTGGTAGCTCGGTGACGACCTTAGCAGGAAGAGCCTCTTTGGAGGCTTTACCAAGAAAGAATGGATGCGTTGGCCCAGCAGGTTTCGATGGTGCCTTCTTCTGAGTCGCTGGACGTGCCACTAATTTCTTCTTTGCGTTCAGGATATCTTCAATCTTCTGACCCAAAGCAGATCGACTGGCTGCATCTGTGCCGTACCGTATGACCGTAACCGTAGGGATTATCTTAGCTTCCTTGCGCGGCCGACCACGTTTTTTCTTTGGTGACGCTTCGAATGTCGGTTTTGGCGGACTAGAGACTAGTCTGCCGCTCTTGGTGATTCTTATCTGTTTCTTCGGTGTCGTCTTCATAGGTTCGCTTGCGGCGGAATCATTCGAGTTAGCGGCAATGTCCAGGTCCGCTACAGGCAGCGTGTTGGGCTCCACGGCTTGGTCCGGTTGATCCACCTGTTTGGGCAATGTGTTCAGTGGTGCATCAATTGCCGATCGTGGCGTTCCTTGCACCCCATTTGACCTCATGACTTCCTCCTCCGCTTGCAGTTGCTGGTGCCAGTTGAAAGCACCTGGCTCGGGTTGCGCCGAACTCAGCATATTGAAAACGGGCTCCGGAGAGGCTGTTTTTTGTCTCTTCCTCCGGTCAAGATTTGGGTCTACTTCTAACGAAGCCTCAACAGGTGTGTTTGTATCGTGCACATTGGTTTCGTTGGTACTTTGCATCGCTGGCGGAAGAGTGAATCTGTCTAGAGACGCTTGATTCTTGGAGTGAGAAGCTGCATGTCTGCCCTTGACTGTATCGGTCTTTCGTGCCCTTTTCTGCTGCCCGTTGGCTGATTTGGGGTCTGTCTCAGAATATGCTGCGTCATGATGCGTGTCGTCGATGGGGATTCCGTTCGCGGTTGGTAATGGCTCTAGTGCGTGGCCGTCTGCAAGCTATGTAAGCTGAGGGATATTGGAGATTGCTGTGCTGGCATACTCGAAGGCTTGGTGAAGAATGGATGTACGTTCTTGCCCTCTAGATTCATTGCGGTCTGTACCGCTGCGAGGGCCATGTACAGATTTAGAAATTATATAGCAGTTGCAGACATTGAACTGGTGCAGACAAGTTATTGATACAGTACGTTAGGCGAATATAGTGGTCGAGGTTGCAGGTGAAGGCGCGTGGTTGCCGTCGCCATCAACGATGATCTAAAGCCACTTCCGCCGGACGCGACGTGACGCGCTAGGGAACAACGCCACTAAAGCCACACTTTAGCCTCCGCCAAGATTTCGCACCGCCTGCCTTTCTGCCGGAGCTCCAACTTTTTTTCGAAAGATACTCGACCGCGCAAACCAAAGCACGCGCCTCACCCTACGGTTCACGCAGACCTCATCTTATTCGACGACCGGGTCTGGCAAACAATATGTCGTTCGACCAACCGATTGGCGCTCCTTTTACATTGGCGTCGCTGTCCAAACCGATCGGCTCTACCAATGGACATGTTCACGCTGCCGGAGTATGCAGCCTTAGCGG